TTTTGGCTTTTTTTTTTTTTTTTTTTTTGGTATCAGGGATCAAACTTGGGTCCTCATGCTTGCAAGGCAGGCAGCGGTACCACTGAGCTACTGCTGAGCTAAATACCTGGCCCCTTACCTTGGCTTACTCTTTTTTTATTGAACTTGGGTCTTTGAGCTTGCGAGGCAGGTAGCAGAACCACTGAGCTAAATCTCTGGCCCTTCTTGGCTTATTCTTGAAAAAAAATACAGCTAAAATTTCTTATCACTGCAAAGGGCTATTAATGACAAAGATTAAGAGATAACCATTGAGTATTCTAAGTTCAGTTGTACTGTGAACTCTCTGTAAATGCCATATGTTGTATACTCAGTCTCTTGCAGATCTCCAGCAACAGGAAGAGGAGACCTATGCAGATGCCTGCGATGAGTTCCTGGATCCCATCATGAGCACACTGATGTCTGATCCCGTGGTGCTGCCATCTTCCAGAGTCACTGTGGATAGGTCCACCATTGCCAGACATTTGCTCAGGTATGCCAGTCCCAAGATGAGGCACAGTCCTGTAATTTCAGCACTCTGGGAGGCTGAAGTAGGAGGATCACAGGTTCAAGCCCAGCCAGGGCAACTTAAGTACTTAGTGAGAGACTATCTCAAAATAAAAAGTAAAAAAATTGCTATGGATGTAGCTCAGTAACAAAGGACCTAGGTTTGATTCCTATTACTGCAAGAAAAGAAAAAAGAAGGATTCTATCAATATATGTTACAAGATATATCAACATGGTGCTTGCTTTGGTAGCACATGTACAAAAATTAGAAAGATATATCATCATGAAGAACAAATTGGCCTGAAATTGTTTTGGGTTTTGTTTTTGTTTTTGTTTTTTTCCTGTGGTACTTGGAATTGAACCTTAGGACCTGGCTTCTAATACTTAGGTACTGGCCCTTTCTCAAAATGAAAAATAACAAGGACTTGCTCAATATGAAGGCCCTGGTTCAATTCCCAGTACAAATAAGAGAAAAACAGTTGTTTTCAGTGACTTGAGTGTATAGGATCTCTGCTTTAAAAAAATCTAAGGGCTGGTTGGGTCCAGGGATTTGGCTCAGTGGTTCTGCCCCCCTGCCTTGCAAGCACAAGGGCCCAAGTTCGACCCCCCACATAAAAAAAAAAAAATCTAAAGGCTGGTGACAGAAAGATAGTATTTTTTAAGCAGGTAGAACCAAATATCCTCTGAATAGCAGTTTTACAATAAAGTTCTTAAAAGGCAGCGAGACAAAGTGGCTGAAAAAACTAAATCATTCTTTTTCTCATCTCATTCTAACACCCACGTCAGCATTTGACTTAGTTATAATACGCTTAATCTAGCTTCATTTGCAGTTGAAATGAGTGCTTAGTTCTGTTTTTGGCTTAGGATATTAGAATTTATAGAAATAACCCCAATTCTTTTTCTCTTTGTCCCAGTGACCAAACAGATCCTTTTAACCGTAGTCCCCTCACCATGGACCAGATCCGGCCAAACACTGAACTGAAAGAAAAAATTCAACAATGGCTTACAGAAAGGAAACAACAAAAGGAGCAACTTGAATAAACACTGTGAACTAAACAAATCAAAAACCAACCTCAAGTATAGATAAACAATTGTGGTGTCTCCCTCTTCTGGTTCTGTTCCTTTCTTTTCCTTTTTTTTTTGTTTTTTGTTTTTTCCCCCCATCACCAAATTAGAGAACTACTTTTACTCAAATTATGATAATTAAGATTCCTAAGAACTTGTCAGTGCTTCACCGGCTTGCAGTAAAATACACTTTCTTATAGTGTCCCCAAGTTTGGAAACCATCGCTAATTTTCAGCCTTTATTCTCCCTTTTCTCACCTTAAATTATATTTTTAAGTCTGGTGTCACATATTTCAATGATAGTTGATATCAGAAAATTTTGTTACTCTTCATGTTTACTAGTCCTCACAATCTGAACTTATACCCTTGCTATAGTTCTGTAATGTTATGGAATAACCTTTCACGTAAAAGCAAATACATTATGTTTGTGCAGACTTTTGAATGATACTAAGACTTTTTTATTTTTAAAGGAATCTTGCAGCTTCTGTTGGTAGCTCTTAATTTTGTGTTATATTGTAACTCAAAGATATCATCACAGACATTTTCTCATGGGTTGTCACCACCAGAAATGTAGCCCTGCAGTCTTTTTGTGAGGATTAGTAAAAACAAATTTGCCATCTAGACACTTTAGTCAAAAAAATTCTGGGGTGAGGAAATAAATAGGAAGCTGTTGGGTATTCTCTTATGAAAAATCTGTTGCGAGGAGTGGGCCTAAGCAGGAAACTTAGGCAACAAATATTGTAATCACAAAAAAATGTCATTTAAGACACTATATCAATAGTATATCTCAGTATGTATTATGCATATATACATATGCACACTTACCATGTGCTTTTTTATATTGGTCTAGTGTAAACTAAGTACCACTATATTATCTTCTCATGGTAAAATGTAAACAGTGTGTGGCCATGCTTACTCACATACACATTCTAGACAAGTAAAATTCTAAGACTCTAAATTGTATATAATTAATGTTTGTTTAGGCTGTGACCTGACTTGTAAGAGCTGCTTCTAACATAGCCCTAGGTTATCAGTTAACAGCAGGAATGTGAACAAAACTTTATCCACAGCCATTTTAAATATCCACTTTTCCCTGAGTAAGCAGATGGCACCTCCTTTTGTAGGCTGAGCCTGAGCTCTCTACTAATAGTGCAGTTTATCCTATTGAGTGAGGCATATTCCCCAGTGGACCATCTTTTTATCAGTGTCCATCTAAGTCCAATGATACCATGATAAGGGACAAGAAAAGTGACTTAGAAATAGGGCTCAAATGTATTATTATAATATTCCAACACAAGTTGCTATAAATGGTCCTTGATATGTTTTGATGGTATCAGCTGGAAAATCTTAAATCTAAGAGGGCCTCCTAGCCCAAATATAAAATTGATAGTACCTATTGCTGTGTTTATAAATGAAAAAGACTGGGACACTTGCAAATGCCAGAATCTAAGATTGATTCATTGTGCTCGCTGAGCCTTTAAAGGATGTAGTAACAGGATATATTTTCCTAAAATGAGCTTTGTTTCATACTTATTCTCCTTTCCCTCTCTGAGAATGAACTTTGTATAAAATAAGCTGCTACCTACTTGCATTTATCTTCCCATCCCAATAGTGTCGTTCTAAAAAAGGAAAAGACCAGAGTTTTGTAGGAGAAAAATCTCTGGTGTCTGTATTGTGTTTCTGTGATTAGCCTTTTAATTGTGGGCCTCTTGTGGCAAGCATTATAGTTTTTCGTTTTTTATAAAGCTCTTTTCCTGAGACTTTATGAATGGCTATGGCAACATTCATTCTGCTCAGTATCTTTAAATGCATCACAAAAGCAAGTGCATAGCTTAAGGCCACTACTGGTAAAGAAACAAAGTGTCCTTTGTGCCTTCTTTCTGCAAAGTAGCTGGGAACATCTAAAAAAATGAAAAAAAAAAATACCATCTCAATACATGGTGCCTATGTGCATTTAGTTTTTTTTGCGGGGGTGGGTGTTTGTTTGTTTTGTTTTTTTGAGACGGTCTCACTATGTAGTTGAGACTGACTTGGAACTATGTAGCCCAGGCTGGAACTCACAGTGATCCTCCTGCCTCAGCTTGCCAAGTGCTGGGATTACAGGCGTGTGCCACCACGCCCGGCTTGCCTATGTGCATTTAAAAGTATAAAGAGGGGGCCAGGGATTTAGCTCAGGTGCTACCACCTGCCTTGTAAGTCCAGGGTCCCAAGTTTGATCCCTGGTACCAAAAAACTGTAGCGAGATATTTTGTCTGGGACTCAGCAGCGGTTCTAAATCTTTTTAAAAAGAGTAAACTTTCTGGGGCCAGGGATTTAGCTCAGTGGTTTCAATTCCCTGGTACCAAAAAAAAAAAAGTAAACTTTCTGACATGCCTGGTTTTATGTGTTAACTTTGCTGGAGTATGATAGGAAGATGAAGACTCTAATCGGCTCTGGTATTGCTTACAATTTACAAAGAGGCTAATAGTAAACTGGGAAATTATTTAAATGGATTTTGCCAAGCAGAGTTTTGTGGGAGGTTGTTTTGCTTTAGTATAGTTTTTAGTGAATATATGAAATCTGAAGGAAACTTTAGAGGTATTTTAATGGCGCAGGTGAAGGTGTCAGTTCAGAATCACATTGTACAAAAGCTTCATCACTATTTGATGCTGGTTGCTAAGCAGCCATTGAAGAGTGTAAATCTACTGGGGACCTTTATAAGTGAGAGGCTGATGCTACACTTGTCATGTGAGGAATTAATGCACATGCTCTAACTGCTAAATAGGAAAAGAACCTGAAAAAGAAAATGAAAAACGAGGTTGACTGAAATAAAACGTGATCAACATAATGGTATTTTAAGACATTCCAGGAAGGTTACTTTTTGTCAAACTTCCCTGGGGGTGTTTGTTCAAAACTTGTGCTTAATAAATGAACGCCTGACTTACAACCTTTGTTATCACTTTTATTATATATTAAATGCTTATAGTTTTAGAAATTTCCTTGAAAACCTAGAGGACTCTGACTTCTTTTTTTAAGGTAAGTAGGTAGGCAGTATCAAATGTATGTACTTATCTAACCGTCTCACCAGGTCTCTGGAAGGGACCCTGGAATTATCCTCAGATGAGTCTCAGAGCCTGTTTTTTTCCTAATTAGCTCACTCTATAACCCAAACTGGCCTCGAACTCTTCGGAGCTATCCTCCTACCTCAGCTTCCTGAGTGCCGGAATTATAGGCGTGCACCACCATGCCTGCTCACGAATATCGTTTTATGCTTATAGAGGACTGGAATATTCATCCATAAAGACCAATTCCACCTAAAATTTCCCTCGGATTAGAGCAAAGTTTGTCAGCATCCAACGTTCAAAGGCACAAATCCTTAAAACATTTCTGTTGACTTTCAAACAGACTATCAGGAACCACACCTGGTACTTTTACTCTTCCTTTTCCAGTTCTCCCAAAAGAGCCATCATTTTGGTATTCCTGATTTTAAGAAATCTAAACGGGCGTCATGGCGGGAGCTGCCTGGAATAAAAGTGCTACTAATTAAATAAGAGCAAATAAATCAAGGGTTAATTTTCACAGTTTAAGCATGAGCTTTAATTGTAGAAGAAGACTAAAAGATTGGGTCAAAGAGACACAACAATATAATAAAAAGAGCTTTAGATTGTGAGAGGGACTCATTGCACCATTACTGGCTTTTCAAATGGAGTTAGGGGACCGGGGATTTAGCTCAGTGGTTCCGCCGCCTGCTTTGCAAGCACAAGGACCTGAGTTCGATCCCTGGTACCAAAACAAACAAACAAAAAAAAATGGAGTTAGGAAGCCCATCAGCAAAGGAGTATGGGAAACCTGTAAGATCTGGGTATAGCAACAAAAAATGAGGACTTCAGTCTTATAATTGCCAATGACATAAGAGGACAGTAAAATAGATTCTCCTATTGATCTCTTAGAAGTGAATGGAATGAAGGCTGTAAGAACTGTAGCAGACTTCTGACCTAAGAAACTGCAAGATAAGAAATTGTATGGCTATAAGTCAGTAGTTAAATGGTAAGTTGTTACAGTAGCAAACCAAACTAATGCAAAAATAAATATAATTAAATATTTAAAAAGCCCTCATGAAATTCCAAAGAGAGAAAGCCATCAGATGTATTTATTTAGTTTATTTATTTACTAATATGTGCCTGAATAAACAGACTTTGGGTAGCAGATTAAACTCTGATAAAAGTGTTACAGGTGGTGCACCCCTGTAATCCCAGGAGGGATTACTCAAGAGGCTGAGGCAAGAGAATCTTCATGAGTTTCAACCTAGCCTGTACTCACAGTGAGTTCAAGGCCAGCATGAATTACATAGCAAGTCCCTGTCTCAAAACATCAAAATTAACTAATTGAATGATTATATTTATGAGCTAATGTAAGCTACCAGAAACTGGATAAGGCAATGTGCAAAACCAGAAAACAATAAATCTTGGGTCATGGAATTTGGTTACTGAGAAGCAATAAGTCAGCTTTCTGTAATAGGTAGCTGTTCTCTTACTCATCAACTCATAGATCTTTCGATCTTTCTAGATCACTGTCATGCCTTATCTGAACTGATGTTCCCCTCTGCGTTTAGGCTGCAACCTCTAGATCCCAACTCTTCCACTCTATTGCTACGTGGACAGTTACAGTTCTCGGGACAATATTCAACACACAGGTTTTCATTAAATTCCAAAATATCCCGGGCCAGGGATTTGGCTGAGTGTTTCCGCCGCCTGCCTTGCAAGCCCAAGGGCCCAAGTTTGATCCCCCATACCAAAAACAAAAAACAAAAAACAAAACCTGGCGTGTCAGAGGCTCTCAGTAAATGTGATTTTGTTCCTCACATCTACACTGCTCCCTGTGGCTAGTTAGGAAATTACGTGAATTGGATTCTAATACTTAGGTTGAGGGTGAGAATGCTATTACGTAAGTCAACCAAAGAAAGGGAGTTGCTCTTTTTTTGGTACCGGAGATTGAACTCCCGACCTTGAGCTTGCAAGGCAGGCGGTGGAACCACTGAGATAAATTCCCGGCGTATCAATCAAAGAAGGAAACTGAGGCCTGGTATGGTGGCGTATGCCTGTAGTCCCAACACTCGGCAGGCTAAGGCAGGACTGCTGCGAATTCGAGGCCTGAGTGGGCTATATAGTGAGTTCAAGCCAGCCTGAACTGCATCGCGACACACTGTCTACAAAATACCACAAAAAGGTCGGAACTGGGCTGAGTCTGATAACTTGTGTAATGCCTGCTTCGCATCTAACTTCCGTGGGCGCCGCCTTCTATAATACGCGTGCTGGATCAGGAGCGTCCCTTCCCGCCAGTATTTTCCACGTTCTCTCAGAAGCTGTGAGGAATCCCCACACCCAAGAGCGAAGGTTTGCGCCAGAAGAGCGAAGGTTTGCGCCAGAAAAGCATATGCGCATGCGCATTTCCTACTCCGTCGGCGTTCTGGGCTCCAGGCATGGCTGCCCCAAGACATGCCTGTTTCAATGTTTGATCCCATTGCTTTCCACCAGTTCTCTAATTTCATCTTTCCCCATCTCCTTTCTCCTCCTGAACTAAATAAAATAGGCTAGTAGTCTAAATTCCGCAAGGATATCAAAACACCTGACTATTTTGGACGGGCGCGGAAGGGGGCGGCCTGACTTTAGAAGTGGGACGGGGTCTTGCAACGGGTCCTTCCCGGGGGTGACATTCAGCTGGCAGTTGAGGCGACGGCCCTGCTACTGTGGAACTATGGCCCAGTTCGTCCGTAACCTCGCGGAGAAGGCCCCGGCGCTGGTGAATGGTGAGCAGTGCGTTAGATTGTCAAGGCGGGTACACGGGCGACCGGGAGGCTGGCGGGGCTCCGAGGGAAGAAGCGGGCTGCTGTGACCCCAGGCAGGAGCAGGACCCTGGGCGGGACGGCCTGAAGGTGCAGGGAGCAGGAGGCAGGCAGGTTTGAGACCTTCCTCTGGCCTTCCTATTGCCTGACCTGTAGTTTGGGCTCTCTGCACCTTAGAAGTTGCTGAATTATAACCACTGCAGGAAAGAGGTAGTGTGAAGGAAGCCCAGAGTTGCTGGGCAGCTCCCGCCATGACGCCCGTTTAGATCTCTTAAGATCAGGAATACCAAAATGATGGCTCTTTTGGGAGAACTGGAAAAGGAAGAGTAGAAAGTACCAGGTGTGGTTCCTGATGGTCTGTTTGAAAGTCAACAGAAATGTTTTAAGGATTTGTGCCTTTGAACGTTGGATGCTGACAATCTTTGCTCTAATCCGAGGGAAATTTTAGGTGGAATTGGTCTTTATGGATGAGTATTCCAGTCCTCTATAAGCATAAAACGATATTCGTGAGCAGGCATGGTGGTGCACGCCTATAATTCCGGCACTCAGGAAGCTGAGGTAGGAGGATAGCTCCGAAGAGTTCGAGGCCAGTTTGGGTTATAGAGTGAGTTCAAGACGAACCTGAACTGCATAGGGAGAATCTGTGTCCTGAGGAAAAACAAATTATTGTATAAACTGGAATCGTAGTATAGGCGCATACACGGATTTTTCTTTTCTTTTCTTTTTCAGTTTGAGGAATCTCACTAGTAGAAACCGTATTTCAGAACAGCCCTGAATAGTCACAGGCTGAAAAGTAAACTGGTCTGTCAGTAAATGTTTCATTTGCCAGCCGGTTTGGTGGTGCACGCCTGTAATCCCAGCATTCGGGAGGCTGAGGCAGGAGTCGCTATGAGTTCGAGACCAGCCTGGGCTACATAGTGAGTTCCAGGTCAGTCTCAACTACATAGTGAGACCCTGTCTCAACCCCCGCCCCGCAAAATATATTTCATTTCCCTTCTGAACAGTAAGTTACAAATTTTATTCCTGAACAGAGGTAACTTGATGTAAGTTTCTTCACTAGATGTGGTTTTGTGTTTTGTTTTTGTTTTTTAAGACAGGATCTCCCTACATAGTTCAGGCTGGTCTTGAAGTCACTAGATAGTTTATTATAAGAACTCACAGATATCCTCCTGCCTCAGCCTCCCAGGTGCTGGAATTACAGGCATGAGCCACCAGGCCTGGCCATATATGCTGTATTGTACTAAATGTTTGAAGGTAAAATCTCTAAATTGCTTTCATTCAGATTTGATTGTAAAATGAGTAGAAAGCAGAATTTCAAAAAATACATGTAATGTTTTTTAGCATATTTTTCTATATTTGGTATTTTTAAAAATTAATTCCCTCCTCTCTTCACTCCATCATCAGGAAAACAGTGAAAAAAAAATTTTTTTTAATGTACCAAGGATCGAATTCCGAACCTTGCACTTGTGTGGCAGTAGGCAGCACCACTGAGCTAAATCCCTGGCCTAAACAGTGAAATATTGAAGGCCTCACGATGCCATGTACTGTTGATACTTGATTCCTTTCTCTTACATGTCAGATCTCCTGACCTTCTCACTAGATCTAGTAGTGAGACAGTTTATTCATTATCTCACTACAATCTAGTAGTCAGACTGTTTTATATAGTTTCCCAAGGGATTTCTCATTTGGAACTTTCAAGTTAAGGAGAAAGCTTCAGTCTTTGGAAGGTGAGTGATTTGAGGCATAGTTTTTAATATTTAAAGTGGATTTAAGTTACCATAGTTTTCACATCTTCTAGGCCAATGGTGGCAAACGTGTACTACAGCAGGCTGTTTCTATTTAAAAGTTCTAAAAAGTTAACCATCACTGTTCTAGGTGGTGCATGTTGGAGAACTGAAAACTAGTCCTTAATAAAATCAAAAAAAGGCTGGGGATTTAGCTCAGTGGCACCACGCCTGCCTTGCAAGCACAAGGTTCTGAGTTCAATCCCGGGTACCAGAAAGAAAAATAATGTCAAAATAAATTTTTGTTACTCTTCTAGATGTACCCAAAAAAAGGACTCAGATGGGACCAGAATGTTAAAGCAGAAATACATTTTGGTTTATATCATAGGACTGTGTATTAAATGTGAATGTTAAATGCTTGATAACAGTTATGTCTGTCCATTCTCTAGAAGACAAGCTTATAGAAACAAGTAATTTTATCAGATTTCCCAAGAAAGATTACAACAGAGTCTGATTTTCTCCTTTACCTAAACTGTACAGTTTACTCCGATTTCATCAGTGTTTCTTTTAATCACTTTTAATCCCAGGTCCAATGCAGGGCATCACTTCGTATTTAAGTTGTTATATCTCAGTTTCCTCTGATTCATGATGATTTCAATTCTTTCATGATCTTGACTTTCTTGAGGTATCTATCTAGATATTCTGAAGAATATTTCTCAATCTGGAATTTTCTGCTGTTTCTCTTGGGATTAGTCTGGAACAGTGGATTTTTGAGAAAATATACCACAGAGATGAAGTCCCTTAATGGAGTATCAGGAGGTATCTAATATCCATGTGACAGACATCACTGAGTTTCATTGCTTGGTTAAAATAACATTTGATAGGTTCTTCCACTGTAAAATTATTTTTCCCCTTTCCATATCTGCTCTTTTTTTTTGGGGGGGGGGAGTCAGGGATTAAACTTGGTTCCTTGCTCTTTCGAGGCAGGCAGCAGAACCACTGAGCTAAATCCTCAGTCCTCTGTATCTATTCTTTTTTTTTTTTCTTTTTCTTTTTGGTACCGGGGATTGAACTCAGTACCTTGTGCTTGCAAAGCAGGCGGCAGCACCACTGAGCTAAACGGCTGGCCCTCCATATCTGTTCTTTAGGAGCAAGTAACAATGTGTAGTCCATGAGGCAAGGTTTGCAGCCCAGGTGGGAGTGGGTCCATCTGCTGTATAAAAGAGTTTCTGGCTGGATGTAGTAGTGCACACCTGTAATCTCAACACTTGAAAGACTGAGGCAGAAGGATTGCCAGGAGTTCAAGGCCAGACTGGGCTACATAGTGAGTTCAAGGCCAATCTGAACTACACAGCAAGATCCTGTTTCAAAAATAAAAAGAAAGGACTTTCTATATATAATAAATGGAATTTTATAAGAAAGACTTGTTTCTTCATCTAGTTGTTCATTTATTGTAATGACTCATTTATATTTATCTCACACTTTGAATACCATTGCTATGTTCTTCATTGCTCAAATTATTAGACTTGGCCGTAAGGAACTATTTTAGGTTAACACTTCCATCAGTTTGATATACCCCGTTACTTTCTTTTTTGAGACAGGGTCTCACTATGCATTTGAGACTGACCTGGAACTCACTGTGTAGCCCAGGCTGGTCTAGAACTCGAAATGATCCTCCTGCCTCAGCCTCCCAAGTGCTGGGATTACAGGCGTGCACCACCACACCCAGCCTCACACTGTTACTTTCTGGTACTATATGCAGATTCATATTTTCTTTACCCAGCTAAGGCAAGCCTTTCTCCAAAGAGACCTGTTCCTTTTGTTGAACAGTGGAAGTTAGAAACTAAAATTTAGGTGCTGAGTTTGCTCCTTGCTGCTAGAATATCATTGCTTTTAGGTTCTCTCTCTGGACAAGGGATACAGATACATGGGGTGGGGGAGGGGTAACATAACATACCCATGTATATGAATGATTGTTTCTCAGTGTGTTCATCTGTATATATGTTAAGCTAAGCCTGAGTTCATATAAATATCTCCAACTCTAGTCCAGGTTTATTCTGTTTTTGATGCTGGGGCTTGAACCCAGGACGTTGCACGTGCTAAGCACATATTATACCACTGAGATATTCCCAGAGCCCCAGATAACCTCTGAAAGGGGTTTTCTTTTTATATGAGATGAGGTCTCACTATGTTGCCCAGGCTGGACCTGAACTTCTGAATTTAAGATATCCCCCCGACTCAGCTTCCAGTTAGCTAGGACTACAAGCACACACCACACATAGCTGCTATTGTTGGTTTCTTGCTTATCTCTAACTTCGCTCTCTTTTGGTGAGAAACCTGGCTCCCACTATCCATTATTTATGTTTTGTTCATCCCTCACATACATTTAAGCAGTTTCAAACTTACTAACCTGTGCCTCTGAAAAAAAAAATTTCAACAACCAAAGTAAAAGTAGTGTTTTGTTTTGATTTTTCCTTTTTTTTTTGAGACAGGGTCTCACTATGTAGTTGAGACTGACCTGGCATTCACTATGTAGCTCAGGCTAGTCTCAAACTCACAGCGATCCTCCTGCCTTAGCCTCCTGAGCGCTGGGATTACAAGTATGTGCCACCACGCCCGGCCAATTTTTCCTTCTTCTTTTAAGATACTGGGACTCAGGTCGGGGATTTAGCTCAGTGGAGCCGCACCTGCCTTGCAAACACAAGGTCTTGAGTTCAATTACTAGTACGGAAAAAAAAAAAAGCTGGAACTCAAACCCAGAGAATCTACATGGTAGGCAAGCACTAAGCTATACCATATCCCTGTTAGGTTTTGGTTATTTTGTTTTGTTTTTGGTTGCAGGGTTTGAACTCAAGACCTTTGGACAAAGCTATAGTGATCTGAGAATAGTGAAACATCCAAGTACAGGCAGTTAACAGGAAAAGCACCAAAAGCCTTGGATAATCCATTTTTTAGCAATAAACACTTTATGTTAATGCAGTTATGCACAATAAATTTCTTCCTCTTATTGAAGTCACTACCATAGTGTCAAATCTACTATGGTTATTAAGGATTTCTTGAAATAGTGAATACCTTGATGAATTTTAGCTTAATAGATTCTAATTTTGGCTGCTCTTAACAAATGTAGGTTTTACTTTTAGTATTTGTGCTGTGTGTGTGTGTGTGTGTGTGTGTGTGTGTGTGTGTGTGTGTTTAAGGAGCAGCTGTGCTTTTGTTAGAGAAAGATATAATCCAGCACATATTGATGAGGGTACCAGAAGTGGGCGCTAATTGGTATAATTTCATCTGGTTGTATGGCCAGTATTCCGATAAGTTTTAATTTTATTCTTAAGGGTGCCACTTTACATAGCTCTTTTCTTCTTCTGGACTTCTTTCCATATTTTCTGATCTCTTTAGCAAGAAAATATGAATAAATTACTGGTTTTCTTTCTTTTAACTCCAACTACCAGTAACTTTACAGTTAATTAAATTTGCCATTTATAAGTGGAGTAACAGCACTAGCTGGCCACTAGTGAAGTTCCAGCATAATTTAATGTACTTACAGCTTCCTGCCTGATTGAACTTCTCGGTGACACAGGTGTTCTGAATCTTTAAAGGCCTCTTGTTGGGCGGGGGATTCAGCTCAGTGTTGCTGCCTCCTGCCTCGAAAGGGCAAGGACCTGAGTTCCATCCCCAGGACCAAAAAAAAAAAAAGGCCTGGAGCAGCTTTGATTTTTCACACCGGGTGCACATTTGGTACAAGCAGTGAATGAATGTGATGCATGAATAAATATTTGTGTCCAACCCACACATCTGCTTCTTTTGGTCTCTAGTGAGTTCATCCTGGTTTTTGTTTTGTTTTGTTTTCCAGCTGCTGTGACTTACTCCAAGCCTAGATTGGCCACATTTTGGCATTATGCCAAGGTTGAGCTGGTTCCTCCAACTCCTGCTGAGATCCCTGTAGCTATTCAGAGCCTGAAAAAAATAGTCAATAGTGCTAAAACTGGTAGCTTCAAACAGCTCACAGTTAAGGTAACTATGGGCTAAATGAAAACGTATGTGCATAACAGAAAATGTCTTCCCTTGGGGTTCTTATGATTATTTTGATTAATACATTTTTTTCCCAATGAGGCTGAATTTGGAATAATAAGAGATAATCTCTTTTTCACTATGAAGGAAGGTATTTACTTTTCTAGTTTTGTCGTCTGGGTAGAAATACTTCAGTTATTTTATGTCTTAGTTTCCTATTAGTGTTTTGTTTTGGGTTTTTTGAGACAGGGTCTCATTATGTATTACAGGCTGGCCTTAAACTCACTATGTAGCCCAGGCTCTCCTCACACTCACAGCAGTCTTCCTGCCTCAGCTTCCCTAGAGTGCTGGGATTGATTATAGGCATGTGTCACAACACCCAGCCCTAGTGGTCTATATTACAGCAAGAAAGCTTTTTTTTTTTTTTTTTTTTTTTTTTTTTTTTTTTTTTTTTTTTGGTACCTGGGATCGAACTCAGGACCTTGTGCTTGCAAGGCAGGCGGCGGCACCACTGAACTATATCCCTGGTCCAAAAAAGCATTTTTTAAAAATAGAAAACTTTTTTCCTTTCCAGTTTGACTAGTATAGAAAAATATGATGGCAGGGCTGGGGATTTAGCTCAGTGGTTCCACTGCCTGCCTCACAGTGCAAGGACCCAACTTCAATCCCCATGTACCAAAATAAAAAATGAAAAATATGATGGCTTGCTTTGCTGATTTTTTTATTTCATCTTTAGTCTTAGAATTATTTCCAAGTCAGCCAAAAGAATTCTCACATTATATTAGGACATTAATACTTACATGGAAGATAAAAATGCCAAAAGCTGGGTTATCAGGTTATTTGAAGCTTAAAGATCATAAGAACTGAGTCTTGAATTTTATATGTAATCTGTGCACAGGATACAAAAAGCCTAAGTGTCTAGTGAATGCTGACTATAGAACCTATGTCTTGGGAAATACAATTCTTTTTCAGAAAACAGTAACTTCTGGACTAATTTGAAGGGGAAAAACTGACTTCCAGAAGTGCTAAAAAGAAAAAGGCCCAATTTTTTTATGGAATGATACTTCTTCAGTTAGAATTTTAAGGTTCATATTTGTGTTTTGATGAAACTGCTTTCTGTACCTGTTTTTCCTTTGGGGTAATAAAAATTAACTCGGTTATAAAACTGAGTACTGAATTCTTAGAATTAAGCCAAATAATGTGAATAAAAATGAAATATAAAGGGGAAGACAGGGGCTGGGAATTTAGCTCAGTGGTTCTGGTGCCTGCCTCGTAAGCACAAGGACCCAAGTTCCCCAGTACCAAAAAAGGGAGCGGGGAGACAGAGCCCTTAGCTTGAAGCAGATTTTCTTTAGCCAGAAAGAAATGTCTGTTTTCAGGGACTTGGCCTTCCTGTAGCCATCCTTTCATATGAATGCCCTGTCTGGAAGTGTCAGCTATTTCCAGGATGTGGGTTGTTTTAGGACCTATAAAGTGTATCATAAACTAATAATGAAAGAGTTAAGTCAGTTTAGGTCTTTAAAGAATGCTTTGAAAAAATTTATAAGCTCTGGACTATTTACCTTACAAAATTGAAAGTTCAAGTGTTCTCAGCAGTTGAACAAAGTTAACACCAATAAGTTAATATCAGTGTTAACTGAAGCTGCATGGTAGTTTAAATAGCATCCTTATGTTGTCTGTCACTTAGTCCTGGAAAAGAATAATTTTAGATATATAAAAAAGAGGTACCTTAAAATGTGTGCTTTTTTTTTCCTTTTCAGGAAGCTATGCTGAATGGTTTGGTGGCCACCGAAGTATGGATGTGGTTTTATATTGGAGAGATCATAGGCAAGCGTGGCATCGTTGGCTATAATGTTTGAATACCTTTAACATCTGATTATATTTGACTTAATATTTGTGTTCTTGAATCACATGATCAACCACGTGATCAGAACATCTGCTATCTGAATAAAAAAATGTCAGCTATCAGTGTTTTCTCTGTCAAATACTACATGAAATGTCACAGTTCTTGATACTAAATTGGATTGTCTTTGGCTTTTATACATTAATACAACTCTACATGCAAGTCTGTTCAGTCTGAATCTGAAAAATATATGCAATATATACCAATCTGGTATTTAATATGTGAAGATAACATTTTGATTGAAAGATTTAAAATATATGCTATGTAAGCTTTATTTCCAGAAAAACTGAGGGAAAGGCCTTAAGAAACAGAACATGTGGGGCAGGGAATTTAGCTCAGTGGTGCTGCAGTTACCTTGCAAGTGCAAGGTCCTAATTTTGATTCCCAGTACCGGAAAAAGGAAAAAAAAAAAAAAGAAGAGCCAGGTGTGGTGATAAATGACTGTAATCTTAGCACTTGAGAGGCTAAAACAGGAGGATCACCTTTAGTTTGTGAGGCCAGCCTGAACTAAATAGTGAGACCCTGTGTCAAGAAACAAAAATGAAAAAAATAACTAAAACTTGCTGTACTATAAGAACTAGTAATAATGTGTGCAAGAGTGGTATAGTTAAATCATATTGTTAAAAGTTGGGCATGGTAGCACATACCCAAAATTCCAGCAGCTCCCCAAGAGTTTGTGACCCATCTCAGCAACATGAGACCCTGTCTCAAAAAATAATGTCAGGGCTGGGGATTTAGCTCCCTGGTTCTGCTACCTGCCTCACAAGCACAAGGACCCAAGATGTATCCCTGGTACCAAAAAAAAAAAAAAAAAAATGTCAGTAGTTACAAAGAATAAAATTAGATTATTTCTCTGCTGCAATCACAGAAAGATCCTTTGACAACTCTTATGTATATAGATTTTGGAATACTTGTCTTTTGGGGGTTTGTTTGTTTGTTTTTAGTACTTGTCAATTGGAATATTTGTCTCCCCCAAGAGAGAAAATAGGAGGATATGAGGGTGATTTTCTAATTTTGTTCTGTTTGTGACTTTTTTTCTTCTTTTTTTTTTAAGTGGCAGGAGTGGTGGTGGTGGTAGTGGTACTAGGGATTGAACCCAGGGCCTTCTCACTGAGCTGCATGTCCAGCTTGCTCTTTCTGTTTTTTTGTTTGGTTTGGTTTGGTTTTTTGTTTGGGGTGGGTAGTTGTGTTTTTTTTGTTGTTGTTTGTATGTTTGAGAGGTGATTTCACTAAGTTGCCCTGGCTGGGCTTAAACTTTAAATTCTCATGCCTCAGCCTCCTAGAATGCTGTGATTAGAGGTATATATCACCAGACCTGGCTTATTTGTTAACATCTTTAACAGTACAACAGAGTGAATGAGAGCCATGACATATACACTGTATACCTAATTTTAATATATATTATTAGTCAGTTTTATGTTTTTTTTGTTTTGTTTTAGAGCTTGTCTGCAAAAATAAAATATCCTACAGATAGCTGGGCATGGTGTCACACACCTATAATCCCAGCACTCGGAGGCTGAGGCAGGAGGATCACTGTGAGTTCAAGACCAGCCTGGGCTACATAGTTCCAGGTCAGTCTCAACTACATAGTGAGACCCTGTCTCAAAAAACCAAAAAAAAAAAAAAAAGAAAAGAAAAGAAAAATATATATATATATTCTGAAACAGATAGAAGTGATTGGTGTTGGTCTGTTTTCTTTAGACATTTTATTATAAAGATTGGATATAATGATCACTCATTGGCTTTTTCTGAGGATCTTACTGTCCTTGGTTGATTTGATACGGTGTGTCCTCTTTATAACCACAGCAAAAAAGGCAATGCCAGTTGATAACCAAAAGGTGGTTGCACATTTATTATAAAAACATGGCTCACATCTTACTATTAATCCTCAAATAGTTTTGAGCCTTTATCCTGTCAACCCAAAATTTATTCACTACATTTGATATGTTGTGGTTTTGGGAGGGTTTTTTCTTTGTTTGGTTTGGTTTGGGGTTGTTTTTGTTTTTGTTTTTGTTTGGTATCAGGAACAGAACTGAGGCCTCACACTTGCCAGGCTGGTGCTTCACCACTGAGCTAAATCGCTGCCCCCTGTTTTGTCTTTTGAAACAGGGTCTCACTGAATATTCTAGGCTGGCCTTGAACTCAGTTTTCCTGCCTCAGTCTCCTGAGTGCTGGGGTTACAGGTATATGCCAAAACGCCCAACTGTAGCTACTCTTCTGAAATATGAAGTAATGCCCAACTTGCTGGTACTGCAACAAACAGGTGATCAAAACCGAAACTACTTCTCTTCAAAATGTATTCAGTAACCTAAAATATGCAGAGCAAAAAACTGCAAAGAGATTCACTACCATGAAGTTGAAGACCTGTGAATTTCTCTGTTTCATACAGTGTAGGAGCATTAAAATTAACAAGGAAAAAAACCAAAGATCTGAAATCAGCTGGCTAAAATGTCCAAAGGCCTAGGCAACCTTTTGATAGTTACTTTTTTGAACCATGCAGTCAGTCACATTGTAGTCTTCAAAATAAACATTTACTACTCACTTCACTGCTACTTCTTCCTCCTCTGCCCAACAGCACACCTCTAATCTCCCCTGAGACTAATAACGCATTTATGGGATGTTGTCAGGAGGTTAAAATAGCAGTGGGCTCCTTGAAGTGGCCACTTGATTCTCCAGGCTCACTTCTTTTGCCCTTAAGTCCACATGCCTTGTCTCCTAGCAGAGAACTGTTTAGGCTTTCCCTGAATTTGTGGTTGCCATTGGCAACTTTAATATCACTCAGATGTTAATATTTTGTTGTTTTAGGGGGAGTTTTGAGACAAGTCTTTCAATGTAGTTCAGGCTGTCCTTGAACTCACTATGTAGCCCAGTCTGGGCTTGAACTTGAAGCAATACACTTGCCTCAGCCTTCCAAGTGCTGGGATTACAGGCATGTGCCACCACACCTGGCTTTCTTTTTTTGGTACCAGGTACTCCAGACCTTGTACTTGCAAAGCAGGAAGCAGAACCACTGAGCTAAATCCCCAGCCTCACCTGGCTTTAGATGTTAATTGTGCACCTCATAAATTCCAGGCATTACCTAAATGGCTGAAATATGAACAAGACTACTAAAGTTTAGTATGGTGCTGAAAGGAGGGCGGTAGAAGATAATGCTTAAAAGAGGCTATGCAGACTTAAGAATAAGTTTCAAGAGATTATCAGAGAAGAAAGTATTTACAATAAAGAGAATAGAGCCAAAAAGAATGGAACATGGTAGATTGGGCAGGTGGAATAGCATTTGCAAAAACTTAAATCTGCCTTGTCTATTTGAGGTTTCGAAAGAGCAGAAGTGTCACTGAAGCACTGGGTACAGGAGATAATAATCATGGGGTATCTTTTGTGCCATATTAAAAGTTAGATTATTGGGCTGGGGATGTATCTCAGTGGTAGAGTACTTGCCTAACATGCGCAAGGCCTTGGGGTTTGATTCCTAACAAGGCAAGGGAAAAAAAGGGTACATCTAAAAGTGCATATTGGTCCTGCATTTTTCTCAATAGTAGGCACAAAGAGAGGGAAGATTATAGTTGCTAAATCCAAGCCAGTTATGCTAATAATCAGTATGGTCCAAAAGTCATGATTCTTAAGGAAACCACTATAAAAATAAGTTCAACATAAATACCAACAAAGGCTTTTTGTTAGGCTTTTATCACTTCAGGACAAATATGAAACTTATTACATATTTAATCCTTTGTTGTATATATCTCAGCATTGTTTCTGTTTTTTGGGTTGTTTTGTTTTTTGAGATAGTCTCACTGTACTTAAGGCTAGCCTTGAACTTGAACTCACAGCAGTCCTCCTGCTTCAGCCTCTAGAGTGCATATACCACAACCAGCTCATCATCATTCTTTTTTTTTTTTTTTTGGTATTGGGATCGAACTCAGGACCTTGTACTTTTGAGCAGGCAGAGGCTCCACTAAGCTAACTCCTCAGCCCTCAACATTGTACCATTATTATTATTTCTTTCTCAATCATCTCTATACATAAGTATTTCTGTCCTGGTTTTCTCCAGTATTTCTAGATCAAAATATTTTTTCTCTTCAGTATTTCATATTTGTATAGTTTTTCTCTCTCTCTCTGTATATATATATTTTTTTGTTTGTTTTTTGAGACAGGGTCTCACTGTGTACTTGAGACTGACCTGGAACTCACTATGTAGCCCAGGCTGGTCTGAAACTCACAGCAATCCTCCTGCCCCATCCTCCCAAATGCTGAGATTACAGGCATGTGCCACCACACCCGACTTAGTTCTCTCTCTCTCTGTTTTTGGGGTACCAGGGATCAAACTCAGGTCCTTGTACTTGCAAGGCAGGCAGCAGGACCACTGAGCTAAATCCCTGGCCCTAGTTCTCTATATTTTTAAAGCATTTGCGTCATCGCATTTAGCATCACAACTTTCCTCTGAGGAACATGGCATAAATGTGTACCCACTTAGGTCTAACTGAATAGGGAAAACACTGAATGATTTGTTCCCATAAGTGATAGAAACACAAGTTGGACCCAGGCAGTAATCCCTTCTTGTAGTTTGTGTCCTCACTATACTCGTGATGACCTTTGGATTTCCACAGTTCATTCTATATTATTTTTCTTATATTCTTAGTCCTGTTAGCTTTACTATGAAGTTATTAAGATTTATTGTCCCTTTAGATGTCAACCTCCTTAATGTTATGTAAGATAATACATGACTATGTAGGGCATTTTACTTACTGTTTCCTAACTAATGTGATTTTTATTTCAGCCAGGACATGAATTAGTAACAATTGTGATTACTCGTGATGAGTACAGTAACTGTTCTACCAGAGATAATACCTTAGTAGACAGTTTATACTAGAACAGCTCACAAAATAAAAGGCTCCCACATTAATAAACAAACATATAGGGCCCTTGACAGACTGCCTTTGGCCTTGCCTTAATCTCATTTTTTTACCAAACACTGTTTTGGCCACACAATTTCTAACTAGTCCCCATAAAAATCTAGCTTTAAATATTTTGTCATTCTATTATATAACCACTCCTTGCCTGATTATTG